GCAACCAGTGCCTGGCGGAGCGCACTGGCAAGGCGAGTCAAGCCTTGGCCCCTGTGCTGCTCAACTTCCGTGAACGCGTGCAGGAGCCTCATGACCGCCCGTCCGTTCGCGCGAGCATACTGAGCTCGGCGCTCAGCTGCAGTGCGATTGGGACGACGGCGCCTGGGCTCCCGCTCCATGCCGGATGCGCGAAAGGCGAGGACGTGGTCGGAGCGGGGAGCTCCTGTGGTGCTGGCTTGGGGTTCGAGCAAAACTGGCTCGAGCCAAGCTGGTCACTGAGATGATGCAGGGAGGGAAAGGTGGAGAGGAGGGACGCAGGGAGGAAGGAGGTGAGGGAGAGGCGGGGGTGAGCGATGAGAGGGTAAGGAGGGAAGGATCGAATTAGTGCAGAAGTGAAGGAAAGGAAGGGAATAGGAGAGGGAGGGATGGTATGGGAGATGAGGATTAATGGAGAGGAAGGGAGTAGAAGGGAGGAGGGGCAGGACGGAGGTAAAGCAGATGAGGGGGGAGGGGGAATGTGAGGAATCGAGGAGAGAACCACGGGGGGAAGGGGGCAAGGTGAGGGATGGAGAGAGAGAGAGAGAGGGAGAGACAGGCAGCCATGAGGGAGCAAGGGCGGGACGCAGGCAAAGGGGATGAGGGAAGGGGGTGGGGGATCGAGGAGCGCAGGAAGGGAGGGGTAAGGGGGGAAGGGATGAGAGGAGGGAGGCGGTAGAGCTCTTCGAGGAAGGCAACCACCCGGCCCCCAAGACATGCTCGTCCAGCGCAGGGAAGGGGAGGGGGAAGGGAACGTGAGGGGAGGGAGGCCGTAGGGTTCTTCGAGGAAGGCAACCACCCCGCCCCTACGACGTGCTCGTCCATTCTACGTTCGGGGAGACTTGAGACTCGGGTTCGGGGGAACCGGGTTGGCCTGACGAGGCCATCACGAACATGATGCGACCCTATCTGAAGTTTGACGCGAACTCCCGCTGCAAACATCCCGCGAGAAAAGGACCGTCAACATCCGGGACGCGCTCGTCACAAAACGCGGGCAAACCCGAGTTCTGGCGTGCTCGAGTCTTAAGTTCTCCCGATACGTACTAAGAACCTTACTGGAATGATCCGATTGGTGGTGGACATATACCCCTGTTAGCAAAACCACCCATTACGGAAAACGGCCCGGGACCATATGCAGCTGGCTCAGGCCAGCAGAGCCTGCCGCGGAAACGCGCTCTCGAGAACCGACGAAAGGCAGTTCGTGAATCGATTCGGCAAGGTGCGGGTTTCTACCAGCGTGGGTCTGATCCGAGAAGGAGCCCTACTAGTACGCAACCTGCCCCTCTTCGAAAGACTGCGCCTATCCCTTTCAGGATGCCCCCGCCCTCCTCGAAAGCCGCCCTCTGAGAAACCTACCCCTTTTGGGATGCCCCCTGCTCTGCTCGAGTCCGAGTCGAGGGGAGGAGCCTGCCCTTTCCAGGACGCCGGCCTGCCCTCTTCGAAGAGGCCACCCCGTCTCCCTGCTCTCTCTCTCTCTCTTTTTGTCCGCGCCCCCAGCTCATCCCTTCCCCTCTTTGCCATCGCTCGGACGTCCTTTCCCTTCCACCTGCATATTGTTCGACGTCGCGCGTGTTTTTTCTCGCAGGATGAGCCAATATGCTCCACAGGGATCCCCGCCGAGAAAGACGCACGCGTCCGAACGATGCCAAGGGCGCCCCCAGCTGACTCCTTCTCCTGACCTTACGCTGCATTTTT